TCCCAAAGCCATCACACAGCAAGCCACTGCACAAAGAAGTTTATCAATCAAGATGTTTTGGCTGCAAGTAAGTGAAATTCTAGTTCAAACTGGCTAAAATAATAAGGACATGTATTATCCCATTATACTAATACAAAGAAGTTCAGGGGAAGGAAACATTCTAAGCTGGTAGATTCAGTGGCTCATGAATGTAACCACTGTTCTGCCACTTGCTGATTTATTAAGATATCCTTAGGCTGCCTTCCCTCTTGATCCATAGATAAGATATCTGTCAGCACCATCTGGGGTATATAATTCCTTGTTTACATTCAGTAGAGGAATTAGAGACAGAAATGTTTTATCCCAATTATGGAGCATACATCTTTCTCTTTTGAACAATTTAGGTTATGGGCCAGAAATAGTGTTTAGAAATATTTCATTGGATACTTCTCTACATTTCTAAACCACCTTTGCATCACATGGGAACATATGACTAGTTCAAAGCAATGAACTTTAAGGGAAGTGAATCATTTCCAGAATGAGGCAGATAAAAACATGTGTACCTCCTCTATCTCCTTTTATCCCTGATATAAACTAGGGGATACACGTCAAATGCTGAAATAGCAAATACCTCACAGAATGGAGGCAGTCTGGACACTAAAGTCACCAGATGGAGGAGGGATTCTGTCAACCTGCATCAGACTGTGAGTAAACTACAAATTTATCCATTTCCCCAAGCTACTGAGATTTCAGGGGAGTTCCTATTGGGACACTTGGTATTAATTACCCTGATTAAAGCAGATTACATGCCCACTCGAGGGAAAGCTATGCCTTGACCAGCCTATACATCATCCGAGATGGAATGGATGTGCAGAATTGCATTGACTTGAAGCAGTTTTACAGTAAGAGAATTCATGTGTTATTCAGTTGGAGACTCAAATGATTTTTTAAAGTACAAAATATTTACAATTATCCTGCTCATTCCCATAAATGGAAAATTGTGCCATTTTCACAAAAAATACCCTCCAAGATTGAATGCCTTTGCAGACATGCCTTTTATAAGGCATGCTGTTTTATGAGGATCTTCAAAAGACCCATTTAAACAAACAAACAAACAAAACTAAAGTCATGCATTAGTTTTAAATTTCACCTACCTTTTCTGTGCTAACATTTATTGAACACCTACTACTGCCTAGCCCTGAATAATAGGTAAGAGATACAAATAAGAAAGGACACCTGCGTTCAAACTTTAATGTCTGATAATGAGACAAATATGTCAAGAAAGCTGAACAGATGGCCAAATATTCTTTAAAATAAATTATCAAGAAAGCATACTGCTTAATAATGTCTAAGGTCAGGGATGCCTGGGTGGCTCGGTCAGTTAAGCATCTGACTTCAGCTCAGGTCATGATCTCACAGTTTGTGGGTTCGAGCCCACATCAGGCTCTGTGCTGATGGCTTAGAGCCTGTTTCAGATTCTGTGTCTCCCTCTCTCTCTGCCCCTTCCCCACTCATTCTCTGTCTCTCAAAACTGAATAAATGCTAAAAAAATTTTTAAAATAATAATGTCTAAGGTCAGAGTAAAGCAAATAACATAGCCAAGATTTAAGCTCAGGTTTGCCTGGCTCCAAAATTAGCCTATATTCTTTCTAAAACTCCAAATGAACAAAACAAAACAAAGACAAAAAACACAGGAGGTCAAGAAAAAATGAAGAAATTCATCGTGGCATTAAAGAAATGTAAATGTAGTCTGTTTGGGATGAGTTTGGTACCAAACATCAAACTAGAAACAACAAAGGTAACCATGATGGGTTTGAAACTTGAATTTGCAAAATATTTGTTGTATTACTTACGACATTTCAGTTCAGCTAAATAGAGAAGAGAACAACAATGAGAAGTACAAGCATCGACAATATGTGAGGAGATAGTGTGGTAGCCACAGTTGACAGAGATAATTAAGTAGAGATAGAAGAATCAAGAACCCAACATTTATGAGACAGCAAATATTCATGTCTTAAATGAGTCTCTCATTGATTATACCCATGTTGACCCCATGTGCTGTCTGCTTGAGATATGCAGATAAAAACCGATAGCTGTTCAGGACTCTATTAGCAAGTTACAACTATACCTAGGTGTACTTGCCTCTAATGATAGAGCAAGCTGTGTTGGCTCAGTCATGTTCCATCTGCTGAGCCCCTTTGCTCACACTCAACACTGGTCCTCAAAAATCCCACCATGATCCGGAAAGGTTGATGTGGTAGAGAAGATGAGAGACAGAATAGATGAATGTCATGTAACACAGGACTCAGAATGTGGGCCTTTCGTCCCACTGAAACACTTTCTACATAGTTAGCCTAGCAGATCTTTCCCTCCTTGTTTTGTGCTGTGTTTCAAGCTGGTCAATAAATCTGTGACTAGAATATCGTAACATGGTTTGTGAACCTTTCTGCACTAGGACCACAGTTCTTGCCTACACTGTGGGATGGATGTAAGGTAGCTGAGGATACATGGTGGTGACATTACAGGAGTGGAGGGGCTCAAATTAGGGACAAAGGCTACGAGGCCCAGGACATCCTTTGAATTGTTCCCAGCACCATCAAAAGTTGCGGCTAACTAAGGAGGAGTGGACTGCAAGGCCTGGATAATACCAACATATTTACCTACAAATCCACCAAAGATTTGCTGAATACACCAGAGACCAGAGCATCTAGAGTGTAAAAATCGACACACATGTATTCTAGGCCCTTCCTTCTTCAGTCACTGGGATATGGCAGCTCCTACTCTCAAGCCCACCTTCCTTGAAATACCCAGATGTCACCTTGAACAGAACAGCAGGAGGTGCAAGAGGTCTGAAAGGCTAGAGATTTCACCCGAGAGAGCTGGAGTCCTCTCAAAGTGACATTTAAAGGCAATACTAACTGGCAGGTATGGTTCCCATTCTGCCTGGGTGTAATTTATTGAGGAAAAATAGATGTTACAGTGAATAGGCTACAACTGCTTTGTAAATAGGAGTAGTAGGATTTTTGAGCCCATTTTGGTTTTATGAACAACGGTAGTAATATCGGAAGAGATAAAAGGAATGAGGAAGAGAAAGGTGGTTAGTCAATGGACATAGAAACGGAGAATCTTTGAACTCCATTTAATGGAGTGTTCCACTTCAACATACATACATATGCACACACACACTACAAATATTTAGTACTCTAGTACTCTGTCTAAACAACTATCTTCAGTAGCAGGGTATCTGAGCCGTTGCTACATATAAGCTATATCTAAGTAAATAAGTCCCAAACTAAAATCAAGTATGCCAGCCCCTATGCTTACATTTATGCAGGATTAGCTCTCACTTTTCTGCCACAAACATTAAAAAAAAATCTTGTTCTCCTTTAGCTATGTTTTTCCAGAAATACTATGCTAAAAATCCTAAAAACATAAACATTTCCATAAGTACAACTGGATAGAGAATAAAGGCTAACCTGAAGTTAAAGCATAGGAATGACAGAGAATCACTCCTTCACTAGAGTGAATAATCTCTTAAATAGTATGATTTTCATGTCAACCTTACATGAAATTTTGCATATACTGTGGATTAAACTAAGGAAAAATATGGAGTTTCATCATGGGTCAGAATGTGTTTCAACCAAGGTAGAGATCAATGCATGCAGGCCAAGGGCAAGAAGTAAGGGTCTAATCAGACAGAGATGACTGCATGTCTCAGGACAAATAGGTTGATCTGCTGCCTCATACTCCACACGTTTCCTGTCCTAAAGTATTTGTTTTATACAGTTGGAAAGATGCAATGAAATAAAAGCTCAATATTTTACAACAGAAAAAAAAAGATTTTGAAGAAAACTCTTGGTAATGATAAAAAGATAACCACCTGGATACTACAAGGCTCAGGGCTAAAGAGACAGAGACAAGCACACAGGATACCAAAAAGTTCCAAGCACAAAAATGAAGGAGTTTTACTATGAAAATTCAATCTGTGGGGCTGATTTACCATCTGGTGACCATTTGGGGCATATACGTAAAAAAAAAATTGCCCAGATATCTCTAGATGTTTTAGGATGTCATCACAACCTACCACAAATTGCAGCTGTTTCTGAAACTGTAAAAAAAGAACAAAAGATCTTACCTAAATGTGATGATACAGAAGTGAGCAGTTGATAATAAAGATTACGATATTTCTCATTTAGCTCATTTGGGGACAAATAAAATGCCTCCTTGGAAGACAATACCAGCTTGAAATAGAACTATACTTGATATATATGCATTTTCTATATACTGAAATAAAAATTTAAATCAGCATTCTGTAAACTGTATAATTGACAATATGTGGTTATTGCAAAAAAGTTATATATAAGCATCAACAGAACTGCTTTTGAAATTTATTAATTCAACCCTAGAAATACACACATTTCCCCATGGATTTTACATCAGTGTTATTTATTGGTGCCACTGTATTATAACCAGAAGTTTCTACAGTCGATTAATGCTTCACAAACATTTATCAAACAAGCTCTTTCTCCGTCACTTTCAGCAACCATGCTGAAACAGAAATTCTAGCTATTACTAAATGAAAACAAAAATGTGAAAAGGAAAAGGTCATACACATACTCAGAAGGAACAAATTTGTGGTTATTTTAATTCTTTCTCAGTCTAGCCACTAGATTTTTCCAGTAACTACAATTAAGCATTCATATTTAACTCATCTCTAACAAGGAAGTCTGAAATGCTTGAGAATGCTCTACTTTAAATCTAGTTGTCCTAACCGCATAAACTCCTGCACGCTTGCTTCTTCCTTCATCTTTTTTGGAAAGACAAATAGACAAAAATGCTGAATGCTGCCCCAAACACAGTTTAACATCCATTTGAATAGATAGGAATTTAAGTAACAAACCTTCCCCCACCACCTAGAAAGGAAAAACAAAATCGCACAAACATCTCAGCAAAACCAGGAGGGCACAGGCCTCTCCTCAGCCCCGCAGTGTCCACAGAAGATGGGGGCAGCCTGTACTCACACAGATGGCGAGAGCGCCTGCCCCCATTCTCGCAGGAAGTGCCTGGTAGAAGTGATGAAGACCGGATGAAAACATCAAAATGACAGCAAAGTACGAGAATTCCATGCAGCAGATATGCTTTCATTTGAAAAACAGTTCCTAATCCAGAGGCCTCACAGCGAGCAAAGAGCAGCTCCTAACATTTTCGGAAGTGTGGTTTTGCTTCTCACTCGGCTGAACCCACATGGCTGGCAGGACTGCCTGGAGTTGAAATCTGATCCAGAGCGTCTAGTACTGGCAAGTAGTGGAGGTCATGTGACATGGGCCTTGAGCTGCTGACATCTTTTCCTTAAACCTGACTTGCCAAATACCACACAGGCTTTCTCCGTTCAGAAAACGCCCATCACCTGGTGGTATTCATTAATCAGAGGACTAAGCCCAAACAGTGAATATGCAAACCTGCTTCCTAGTTGCTACTCCTAAGAAAAATTCACATATTCACACTCAGGTTTCAATCTGCAGGCACATTCTTCACTTTTCTGAGGCACTTTTCTCTTTCACTGCCCCTTAGAAACCAGTTAAATTCTATCAAAATGTTCTTCCCTCCACTGTTAGTCTATAATTTCTAAATGAAAATACTTTATTTTATGCAGCTTTTACCACTTCTCATTACTTCTGAATTATCTTATTCACAGATATTGGTAATCAACATAAAACAACATGTTTCTAGACTTCCACAATTCAACATATGTGATTTATAGTCTGGAAAATCAGCCTCTGGTTGACCTTTCAACAATGTCCTACTTTATATGCTGTTGTCATTAGAAAATATGACAGACTTTACAATTTCCAAATATTTGAACTGATAGCTAAAATATCCATTTCACATAACCCAGAAGGACACTGTCCTATTTTTTTATTACCACTTTTTTGTCAAATCTTTTTTAGTGGCACATTTAAGAGAATGCTGACTAATACTGTGTGAGAAATTTCACTTTACCCAATTTTAAAAGACTTACATTGCCCTCAAAACATAACAGAAGTATATCTTAAAGGTACCAGGTGTGAAGACAAGGGAAAACTAGAATCAGTTCCCATTTCAGTACTTCCCTTCAAATCTAACATACTTTGTATATTTCTAGCCAATCAACAGCTTCCCACAGCAAAGCCAGAGAACATGACAAAGTACATTTTATTTCAACGCATGCATGTATAACATTGCAAAGACTACTTCCACAAAGTGCACTAACACAATCCGAAGGCCAAACAATGGAATGGGAGTGGGAGAATGAACATAACTCCCTCCACTGAAAAAGAAAATATTTTTCTGCTTCCACCTAATCTAGATTTTATCACTTGTGCTTTCCATTCACCCACTGGAAAATGAGGCTATTATAGAATATTATTTTAAAACAAACTTTTCCCAATATATTAAAATTTTGTCTTTTCTGCTTATATACATATTGCCAGTCCTTGGTGAAAAATAAAAGCCTAAATATTAGGTCAATTTTTATTACCTACACTGGTTCAGGCACTATGCAATGATAAACAATGATAAGAAAGACATGGTACCTTCTTTAATGGATCATCCAATGGGAGATAAATCTTTGTGATTAGTTACTACAAAGGCAGTAATAAAGAAGCAGAGATGAGGTAATGAAAGAATAACAGGATACTCATAAATATTTAACATATTTCTATTTTCTTTTTAATATTTTTAAAAAACATAATCTAAATCTAATTTTTGGGTTTTCTATCCCAATTTTTTTCACTTAATATTGTATCACTGACATGCTCCCATACTGTTAACACTACAATTTTAATCACATACAATATGTTCTGTATATATAATGGTTTCTTTAGTCATTCTCTTGTTTTTAGACATTTACATGGTTTCTCATCTTATGTATGTGACTATAAGTAATGCTTTATCCTCATTCTGATTATTTTCTAGTCAAGACTCCAGAAAGTGAAATTGCTGGATCACATTAATATTAACATGTACTATACTTGTGGATACACATGGACTCTGGCAGTTTATAATCTACAATTCACGCTACCCAAGTTTGAATATTTTGTAAAATATATCATAATTTAATAAATGAAATGGATTTCACTCAAAAATTCAGATTTATCATTAAATATATGAAAATTCCTGATTGGTCATTTGTATTTTCTATTCCATGTGTAGCACTGTCCATTTATCAAATGGAATCTTAACAAATCTCTTTTATAAACTCATTTTAAGGATTAAATTATATAATCTATAAAAAGCACTTAGTATGTTACCTGGCAAATAAAAATAGCAATTTTGGATGCTTATCATATGGTTGGATTATTCATTTACATGGAATTTTTTTGAAATATAGTAAAAAATGATCTAAATTGATTTGATGTTTATTTTCCATTTAACTACTGTGGCCCACAGGGTTAATTCTTTACAATATGCAATCTCTCTTTCTGATACCATTAGAGCTTCTTTTACCTATTAGTTGGGGCTGAGCCCATAGTTGTTCATCTACATATTGCATTTCCCAAACTTTTATACCAGTAGATAGGGCCATATGACCATGTACTCATTAACAGAATGTGAATGGATTGGATATGTACAACTTCTGTGTCACATGCTTCATAGGAAATCTCTTGCTTCCTGTTTCCTCTCCTTCCTCTACATCACATGCTAGAATATGAATACATCTCGCTCGGACCATGGAGAAGAGATAGTCCCAGGGGATCAAAGAGTGAGTAGATGAAAGTAACCTTGACCTCTCAATGACCTTGTCGAGTATGGCTGCATTAACATGCCTTTATCAATTAGACTCCTATAGGAGGAAGAAATAAAACTCTCAAATGTTTTACTATATTTCAAAGTCCTGTGTGTCTGTAAAACAAGTTTGTCTTTAACTTAATATACTAACCAAATGACTCTATTCCATTTATTGAGCAAGTTTTTCATTTCCCAAGTATGAGATTGTCATTACTATATATTAAATTCATATATGTACACTTACATACACATGCACAACACAGTCTTTTTCAGGCTAATATATTCTGTCCAGGCTTTTCTTTCGTCCATTGTTTACCTAGTTTTATTCCACATACATTATATTTTGAATAACTATGTTTATAATTGACTTAAGTAGCTGATAAAGATAGCCTTCTCTCATTATATTTTTGGACAAAATTATATTGCCCCTTCCCAATTTTTCATGATGGATTTCAAAAACATTGTGATGTTAGAACAAGTTAGAACATAAAAATAGTATACCTTGTATTATTGTTCCTAATACGTATATATAATACTACATAAGGATGACAAAAATCTAGTCCTTATTTTCACAAGTACTTACACACTATTATAAAGTGAAACTAGTACTGTACCAAATTTATCCTTATTTTTGGTAATGACTATATATCACTGCAAAAAGAAACCCTGAATAGGTCATTTAACAAACAGCACTAAAAATCATTCTTCACATAAGAATATCTTTCCATGGCATAGGTCTAAAATTGGAGTGTGAAATAATTTTCCTCATGACCAAATAGATGCAAGCGATAGTAGAGTCAAATTCTAGAAAGTTCTCTGAGCTGGCAAACATATATATACATATTCCTAAGTATTGATTTTCAAAGACTCTTAAGATATACAAGCTGCAGGCCAAGAGATCTGTTAATATAAAATATGAGCTATTGCTTTTTTCCCCTGAAAGAATAAAGTAATTGTAACAAATACTATTCCTAATAGTTCACTCTGGTAGGCTAATTCCATGACTACTCCCAGAAATGCTGAAATACCACGTCAGGACAAAGGAGCCCTATTTTCAAGATCTGTGAGCTCCCTGGAGGAAGGAGTCAAGGTGACTTCATAACTGATGGTCAGGCCGCTTGGATGCTTCATTCAAATGACCCTCTAACCTGGAGAAGTTTGATGAAGAGATCTAAACAGGCGTTATCCTCTTGCCACCAAAGAAGCTAAAAATGCTTCAAAGTTGAGTTCTCTGAGGGTAACTGGCAGAGCTATCGTTTTCAAAAGACAAAATCTCTTCAGCTGGAGTAGCAATAACCGTTGTCAGAACAGCAATGGTCAGCAATTACAGTACTGCTGGCCGTGTAGCAGAGACTAGCAAGTATCATGGGGTATGGTGGCAGCAGCACTGATAGCATCAACCACCTGATGCCTGTTAGAGATAGGACCATTGGAGGCTTTTTCTTCTACACTCAGTCTGTCTATACTCCAGCTCTATCTCTATCCCAGCTATTTCTCAAGGAGTATCCTAGCCTGGACCAGAATCAATAGCATCCCATCAGACAGGGTATTAGAGGTCAGTTAGCAACTATTTATTTTTTATATACTATATGATCTCTTGACCAGAGAGGTTCAGGTATTTTGGTTTTTTAATCCCTAGCAGTATGTGCACCTGAAAGATTATTTGTTCTAGGTCAGGAATCAGCAAACTATAGCCTGTGGGCCATATCTGGCCACCATGGGCCCAATACAGCTGCTCTAGATCAACTCTGGTTGCACCCATCTGTTTATATAACATGCATGGCTACTTTGGTACTCCAGTGGTCAAGGTTAGTGTCTGCAACAAAGACTGAACCTATGGCCCACAAGGCCTAAAACATTTACCATCTGACCCACTACAGAAAAAGGCTGCTGAGCCTTGCTGGTAGGCTATTCAGTAACATTGCTAGGCATGAAAATCCTTACATATTCATAGACAGACTATTCTGTGGACCTTGGTTCCTTGGAAATAATAAGGTTTATTAGTCTACTTTGTAAAAACTGATCCATTACCTGGCCTTCTCCTAATTATATTCTGAAGGATTTTCCAGAAAGGTCCAGTTCATAATCTGATGATATTTCTGTTCTGAACTCTAGATGCATTCTCATCCCATTTGAGAGGGAAAAAAATTACCATACTCCTAGGAAAAGATCCATTGTTCTGTAGCCATGGAAACAGCCAATATAACTCATTTTAAACCTGTTCAATCGACCAGCACCTTGCCTTAGTAAACCAAGTAATTTTGTAAGCCAACCTATCAGTAACAGCCCAAGAAGGGGCTCACTCTAATAAGCATGTCTTTGAGTGTCAGCCAATCAATAACTGTCTCATTTGAGTAACCACTCTGCTTCCAATGAGGTCACACTCCTGCAAGCCCACCTATGTGGTTATCAGTCTGCTCTGCTCAGTAAGACGATGCCTAACCACCAGAGTTT